AATTTCAGCAGATCCCATTCTTAGCCAGCCAGCCAGCCAGCCAATCGCTATCGAAGCGGTAGACGGTGTCGTGTAAGATCGGCTAAGATATATACCAGAAGCCGTTTTGTGCTGCAAACTCAAGGAATATGGACAGCCACTCCAGCGTTATCATCAGTTTCAGTGGACTCAACTTTGTGCTGTGTCGAATATCTTACCCGTTTGCTACAGAATCTAAGAATGTATTTAGTTAGGGTTCACAAAAGATGGGTGAGTGCAGGGCAAAGTTTTGAGACACTCTTCCTGAAGTCTGTGACAGTGTGAGCTTGAAGGATTCCTCTCACACTGTCTGAAGTGCTCGCAATAATCGCCAATCGGAAAATCAATCGGTTTCTGTGTTAAATCCTGTGGCGCTGCAACTCCAAAGTTGGTATGAGCAGACGGTCGATTTCAAAATAACCACGCAACCGTTTGCAAAGGCAGCACTTAGATCTCTTGTGGGCTACAATATAATTGCACCAGAACGGCCAAAGGAACGATAATCCCATTGAAGTAGTCGGACAGAGAAGACGAGGGTTCATCAGGAAAAAAAGTGTTTGCTTGACTACCTTCTGAACTCCCAAGCATCACTCAACTTTCTCCTTCGTTTTGTGTCAATATGAACAGGCAAAGCAATTGATGAGTCATTTTGTTTAGGAAAGAACTGTCAAAACCTGAATGGTCGAAAAAACGTGCCCAGGACAGTTTATTAATCAGTCATCATTTGACCCAGATTGGTGCCCTCGGTGGAATTCGAACCCAGGAAAGCAAAAGGGGAAGACTTGAGGACAGTCAACGCTCTAGTCAACTGAGCTACAGTGTCACACTGGGAACCGTGATGGATTCTACAAGTTGCAGTATGCTAAGCTTGTAAACTGACCCAAGTGTGATTAAACTAACGGCTCCCGGTGGGGGGGGCTCGTAGCTCAATTGGCTAGAGTGGTGGCTATACTAAAGCTTTCCCCTCGCTGGCATGAGGTCCACTCGCACCGAGGCCGCCGAGTTTTTTTACAAATGGGTCAACTGAATTATTCAAATCCGCCAAGAACCTTTATTAATAATTGCAATGACGTGATATTTTAAGCACTAGATGGGAAAGTTCGTCCGCTGATTACTCACGAGTAACCGTTGGGATTGGAGAGAACAGAAGCCTAAAACATCGAAATGATTGATAATTCTTCCACAAATTACGAAAGCTTGTGTGGAACACAGTCAAAATCATGGGTCAAATTGGATTGTGGAATTTAAACGGAACTTTGCCTTCAAACTGTTGACTAGAAGCGGCTGACGCGCTTAGGTCCGTGAACTCAGACGATAATTTTAACATAAAATACAAATTTGTAAAAAAGTATGTCACCTGCAGTTGCAAGCCTGCAATTGACAATCAACGTGTTAACCATCGCCGGGACATCAGTCGAATCGGGTTGTTTGGTAATTTCCATTAGAAAGTCGGAAAGAAGCAGCTCACAACTGTTGTGATGCGGACGGCAAAGAGAAAGAAAAAAATCAAACGCATTCAGATGAAATTCAATCAGCAACCTAGCAAGCTACAAAGCATATGGTGGAAAAATAATTGCCTGGTTTGCATTTTGACTGGCTTCCGACATTGACAAATGATAAATCATCCCCTCCCTCCCCCCTGACAGCCTTCATCTGTGGATTCGTCCACGACGTGCGGCAAACGTTTGCAAGAAAAGCATCCTTGATAAAAATGGCAGGGGCACTAGAATTACCACTTTTCCGGTTTTGTTGCAGGCATCAGCTGGAGACATCCAAGCCAGAGGCCAGGCAGACTTTAAGGTTGAATCCAGGCTAACTGCTTAGTAAGCACTCCAGCTACGAGGCCACACTCTGTCAACTGCAACGGCTATTATTCAGGCACGTTGGAGTGACTGCAACGAATCTATTGGGTTGTTCGGAAAATATAGGCCAATTTCAGAAACAAAGGTTGATGCTTGAAAGATTTAACAATACAAATGTTAAGAGCAGTCAAACTATGATCCTTGGAGATCTATGCATCTCTGCCATCGAGTAAAAAGATTATTTCTGCCTAGTCGATAAAAATTTACTAACGTTTGGGCCAATAATTTTTTTCAATCCAGCTTCCACCTCAGTTTTGCTCCTCAAAGTGTAGTTATTTAAAAGTGTCTAGAGGTGATAGAAGCGTCAGACAAATAAAACGCTTGTTTCAGTGATCGCATCTTTTACCCTTGAAGTGTCTTGTAACAACCCGAACCCGACCCGCTTTGTTTTAATGTTTACTTTGGTTGTGAAGTTGGTCTTTCTTACTTCAGGACGCTCATCAGTTGGTTTCCGTGACGCTCCACGATCCGGTTCTTCCACCGATAAGTCTACTTTTCTGTGCCTGTATATTTTACATTCTACGTGTTCTTCGTTATTCTTGCATTACTAATAAACGTTATCCGCACAGATACCTTATCAACAATCGATTATGAACCAGTTTCCAGGGAAATCCACTTCACCAATTGACGAGATGGATTTCCTTCCAGGGAATATCCTCAGAGAAACCCCACCTGCAGAACCGGAAACTCTCGCACCTATTCCCGTCAACCGGAATTTTCCTGGGCTACCCTGCTCGGAGGCTTTAAAAAATGACAGCCATGGAGTGAACGGTCGGGAGAATATGGAGGATGAGGTTAAGTCTCGTCTTCCAAGCTATTACGTTTCTGCAGTACCATCCTGGGAACATGTGGCCGTGCGTTGTTGTAGAGCAGAAGTTGACCAGGTCAATTCATTAGTGGAGGTCACATTTTTCCCAAGGAAACACCCATTCCGGACAGTTGTTTGCAGTAGATCTCTGCTGTGGTGTTCTTATTAGCCCCGAGAAAGTTGTAATGGACAACACCAATAGCAGACCACCAGACTGTCGCCACGGCCTTTTGCTGATGCCACTTCGGTTTCGGGAGATGTTTGGGTGCCGCGTCACGATCAAGCCATTACCCTATCACTTACCACATGTCACTATTGGATCAATAAATTGATCATTAAATTTTCGCAGAAAGAACATCGAACACGCTTCGAAACGCCGAACTCTTTGATTTTCAATGAACTCATGCGAGACCCATTTATCGAGCTTCTTCGTCTTCCGTCAGATGACCGAACGCTGTTAAAATACCTATAGCAAGTGCTTCAGATATTCCTCTGATACCTTGGCATGAGTTTTCGGACAACAAGGTAGCTTCAAATCTTCTTCGTCTTCCCAAAACTGCAATCTATAAGACGAGGCAAGGGGCAAAGTAGCGGGTGAATATGAAACATAAGTCTTCTTGCCAAGGACGTCCGTACCCTGCCTGCACGGCTTAGCGATAACAGTCCGACAATCACACGCGATGGTGTCCACTGAGTGGTCCACGACATAGTGCCGCAGAGGAAGGCGTATGAGGTGTCCAGTTAGGGGTTCTACGTGAAGGTCGCCGTAGGTCGCATCGTCTGCCTATTGCAGAGGGTGGTCACGCCTAGCGTCCTTAGCTGGCACCCAACTCTCACTTGTGGCCTCTCGCAGCTAAGCCCTGCCTAGCGGCCACTTCCCGGTAACTGCTTCGACCGGTGGGCGAAAGCAGGTGAGGGTCTTCGGTGTGTGTCCTCCCCCGCAACCGGTATGCCCCGGGTATAAGTAGTTATTGTAATAATAA